ATCAGTCATTACAAACTGAGCAGGCTTCCGTCTGACTGCTGTTTGTGAACGATGAGAGGTTTTGGATGCGAGAAAGCTGCAGCTGCATTTACTTTGGATGTGTTCAGAGCGCGCTGTGCAGCTCGAGCAGACCCTGAAGGTCCCGCTGATGCTGGACCGGGCCTGGCTGATGGGATCTGAGAGAATTACAGCACCACTGGCCTGTTGTGACTGACTGAAATATTGCTGCTGTCAGATGTTTGTTTATTTCAGTACTTCCTTGATGACGTGGGGCAACCCCCCCCGAGCCCCCCCCACACAAAAAAAAGACCCAGATTCATCTGAAGATCAAAACTTTTCTTTAAGTATTTTTTGTGTGCAGGCACGTCCATGTGGCAACGTGTCCTGCTATTTCCCAGATATTATTAAGATTATAGTACCTTTAAATTCTGTATTAATATTTTAGATTAAAAAACAGTTACCATTATGTATCATTTAAATAGTTTGTCCTGCGCAATTATATCGAGAATAGAGGGCGTAAAATGTAGTTGAAATTACAATTAAACCTATTCTGGCAACATTAAAACCAGCAATATAATAATAATAATAATAATAATAATAATAATAATAATAATAATAATAAATCACTGTTGTTTCCAGGTTGGACAGTTTGAATGTTAATTAAGAACATTATTTTTTTTTTGGGTTGCTTTATTTGAGCCTCTGCTCTGATCCAGCAGCCTGCAGGCGCTGAGCGACCTGATGAGGCATTTTCACTCTCTGGCAGACAGTGCAACACCTCTGGAACCGAGGCAGCATACGTGTGTGTGTGTGTGTGTGTGTGTGTGTGTGTGCAGGTGTGTTCTTGCAAACAGGCGGTGAAAGCTTAAACGTGGCTGTCAATGTTCGGCCTGTGTAGATGAGATTTTAATGAGTCAGTGAAACTAAAAATTCCAGCGCGCAAACGCTCCCCAGGGCCACCAGTCCGATGAGTCAGGCCCATAAAGCTAACGTAAACAATGCGCCACCGGCTCCACGGCTACACCTTCCACAGGGGGGGGAGGTTAATGTGAGGTTCAACCGCAAAACTACATTTAAATACAGCCCCAAATTACACACAGAAAGCTGCCTAATAATCTAAAAAAAAGTTAGATTATAGCTTCTAAACAAACGTCTTTGTGATTGATGCGGCACTCAAGGGTCAGGAAGGAAAATCCTGTCACGGCGGAGAATCATTTTTCATTATAAGGACGAGACAGGAGGAGGTGATGGAGGTCAACGGAGAGGATGTCAACAATGCACTTTAGGAAAGGACGGCGAGGAGCCTGCAGCAAAGCCCGTCACTGCCTTATCTAAACCACCTTCAGTGGGGCTGCAGAGCGCGGGCCGGTGCATTGTGGGGGCAGTTTATAGCCCTGCAGCGTAAAATGAAAAGAGTCCCAGAGGAGGAGAGAGGAGCTCCTCCGGCTGGAAACGCTGCCAGTGCGCGTAACAGGCGCACTGAAAGCGCATTCAAAAAGGCCCAATTATGGAATTATTAGTGCATTGTGCCACGTTGTGTTTGAGGTATTTTAATGCTCAGATCAGTGTTAATTAACATGGGTTTAAAATACACACCGCCCTAAGACACCGCACATGAGTGGATGTCTGCAGATTTCACCGCAGTGATGAGCTTCACAAAGACGAGTGTCAACCTGATATAGCCCACATCTCGCGTATTAAATGTTTGGCAGAAGGATTTAGAGTTAGCACATCAGGCTGAAAAGCACCTGAACACATCTGGAAGCCTCAGTGGATTCACACAGAAGCCATTTTTTCATAGTGAGGAGGAACTATTTTCTTGCACAGACACCAATTTGGATTTTTTAAGGCCCCAAAACACTGCGGAATTGAACTTCTTCTTTTTAAATGTCACGCATAAGAGCAACATTATATTCTTTGACTTTTTGTATTTTATTAAGCATATTTTTGCAGCTGGAGCCAAAACGATGCCTAAATATTACAATTTCACGCGGTCACACACATATATATATATTCATATGTTATTCACAATATCCCAGCTTATATTATTATTATTAGTCTCCCATTGTTAAATATACATTTGTTTGTGGCCTCATAAAGCTTTTTTTAAATGACTAAAATGATGTAGCTTGTATAAAAAGCGTACAATAAGGGGATTCAAACACTGAATATTGGATTACAGACTGAAGGCTTTTAACTTTAAATAGAGAAAACGTGTTGCCGCTCCGAGCATAAAGCAGGTCCGACTGGAGGAGTCTCTCACACACTCTGAGCTGTGTGTGTGTGTGTGTGTGTGTGTGTGTGTGTTCAGCTGAGCTCTGCTGTGTCTCAGTGGGGCTGAATCCCTGCAAGCAGAAGCGGTGGTTGAGATCTTTTTCGCTCGAAGGTTTCTGCCTCATATGCTGGTTTTTGTTTTTTAAGCGTTCACGTCCTGAAAAACAGCCACAAAGTCCTGCTGAGCTAAATCCTTGATCTGGTAAACCAATTAAAAAGGCCTCAGAGGATCATTTAGCACCAAGGGAGGTGGAATTAAATGTTAAAATGTTTCACGGTGATGATTTGTTTAGAGAGATATCTGGATGGATTTAAAAGAAAGGATATTTTACTCTTCCAAAAATCTACAGTCTGAATTATTGACCACGTTGAGACTTGACCCTCACGGCCAGCTTTATATTTTTAATTTAAAGAACACTTCTCAGATTTATTTGGGAGAGCTGTGGGCAAAAAAAACCGTAATAGAGTCAGATTGCTGTTATTTCGGTTGCGTCCTGAGACAGTTCCGTTATTTTTAATTAAGCACAATATTCAGTGATTCTGGCCTATTGTATAAAGTGATGTAAACATCAGTAGGTGCTCTCCAGCAGGCCTAAATAACATTATTAATAATACATAATGATACAGCACTAAATATGAATACCTAATTTAGTTTATCAGAATTTGTTTTTGCGGGAATCAAATTATATTTTACAGTAAAAAGTTAAATGTGCTCATAAAAAAGGTTAGAACAAAAGGTTTCTCTCTCTCCTGCAGGTTTAATTTGCGTTTATTCCCCCTCATTGTCCATTATACTGACAGAAAAACAATGAAGCAATATTCTTATCTCACAAGGACTTATGGAATCCGTGGCCACCCTGTGAGTTTAAATTGAGCGTTCAGCTGTTTAATCTCCTCTAAATGTTTGTTTAGCTGCACAAAAACTTCTCATTTCTTTACATTCGTGGTCCAAAAAATCCAGATCAGCTCTGCTTTCTCCGAGTGCCAGCAGAGAACCTGATCACAAGCCTGGCCTAATTGTTGTTGAGCGGTGCGCGGTGCACCTGCGAGGGGCTCCAGGCTCTGTGTGTGTTTTCTGCTCTCAGCGCGGTTTCAGGGGCCCAAACAACCCCAGAGCCACATCTGGTTCCAGTTTAGAGTCCGCACAGACGCGGCGCTGTCCAGGACGATCACAGGGAGACTTTCAAATGTTCCTGTAGGTGTTGTCCCAAAAACCCTCCCCAGACCGCTCACTGAGACCTGCGGGGATCCGTACAAGCCGAATGTCAAACCGCTCGACCCCGAAATAATACCCACGGTGCAGAGTAACGGAGTACTTTTACTCAAGTATTAAGTAAAATGATTTTTTTTCAATTTTCTGCTCCTTTTTTATTTAACTTTACCTCCGCTACATTTTCACCCCAGTATTAATCTGACAGCCTTTACAAATTAAGATTTTATAAATAAAACTGAAGCTTTATAAATGTGATCTCTGTTGTAGATACACAACATACATGGAAATAAAATGAGCTCCACCTCCATCAGCTGCATTAAAATACTGTTTAAACTTTCATACATCAGTAATAATAACCCAATAATAAAATAAATATTAATAAACACTGACAGGAAGCATTCTGCAGCATTATGAGATTATTTTTTAGTTTATTGTGCTGACAGTAGCTCAGTTTTACTCATGGATTTTGAACGCAGGGCTTTTACTTTGTATCAGAGTATTTTCACATTGTGGTGTTGCGCTTTTATTTTTTTTTTACTTCGTTTAAGTGTCTGAATACTTCTTCTACCACGACTAAATCCACAAAAATACTGGAATAAGCAAACACAGCCAGCTATATGGTATTTCACTGATAGGCCCAAGAGGCGCTATTAAACATAATGACTGATATTTAATATAATGTCTGCATTTAATTAATTTACTAATCCAATAGGATGAAAGGAAATGAACCTGTCAGACTTAAAAATTAGTATTTTAATTGCAGTCACGGATTTATTTTTGCTAAAAGAGAAAAATCTTGGAAGATGAGTAATATTCACGTGTTTCCATGCAAACCAACCCATCAGTTCCTCTCACAGCAGTCTGAGGGCTTCACAGTGTAAATCCACTGCACACAGGGAACACATTTAGCTCAGGAGAAAGAAGACAATTCAGTGGAGATGGCAAATGTTAATGTTTTCACTGTATAACGACTATCATCAGGACCAGAGCAGGTCCGGATCCAGGCTCCCTGTACGCCTTTGAAATCTGCAGCCAGTCTGCACAGACAAGAGGCGTTTGAGACCGGGACCCTGGGGCTCCGGGCACGGGGAAAAACGCACTTCCTGACGAATAAAAGAGCGCAGTGTGCTCGCAAATAAAAAGCCTGGAAAGCCGGAGCGAGCAGAGGGGAGAGAAACGACCGACCCCTGCACAACCAGGGCAACACACACACACACACACACACACACACACACACACACACACACACACAAAAAAAAAACAACACACACTTAGTCTTACCTTACAGAGGTACCTGCAGTTAAAACTAAAAGAGGATTTGCTGCTTGCTGCCTTCATTTCTCACACTTTCCTTGGCAGACCTACAAGGAAAAAACAAAAACACACAAACAAAAATACACAAAACACACAACTATCCAACAGCAGGATGTTAGTATTTATACCAACATAATCATCACCCCCTCTTCATCACAGTTTGAATCAGAAAACAAATCAAACACTTCTGGACAACATGTAAAAAGATCTGTTTTTATTGTACCAAATGCTTCATTTGTTCATTCAGACCTTTAATAAACCCGTTCATTCCTTTTTTCCAGTAAAAGATAAAATCTTCAACCCTCTATTTATTTATATATTCTGCCATTTTACCATCTGAAAGAAAGAATGTCACAATCAAAAGGAAACAAATACACATAAATAAACCCCTAAAACTTGCCATCTATATAAATTATGACATGATCAGTGTTGTAATATAAAAAGGCATCTCTGCTATGTGATAACAAAACAAAATCAAAATGACATGATGCTAGAAATAGACACAAGACACAAAGGCAATACATGGTTCGGCCTAGCCTCCTTAACAAAGAAGAAAGGACACGATTACTTCATTTGGAAAAGTCAGAAAGGTAAAAATACAACGTGCTCCCTGGGCTGTTGGTCTCAGTGGTAGAACGCAGGAGTGATTTGGCCTCAGGCGTTTGGGTTTTTCTTCATCAGCTCAATGTCGGCATCCACCATCTCCTTCACCAGCTCCTGCAGAGGGACACCAGGTCAACATTTCATTTCACAAAAGAAGGGAAAGTCACATCAGAACTCATATTTAATGAAAAGGATGTGAAAACAAATCAATCTTTTAATAAAAACACAGTAGAGCCACTGATTGTAATTGCGACGCTTTGTCTTTATTTATTTACATTGTGGTTTATGGTGAGCCTGCTATACGTGAACACAGTGAGAGCTTTAAGTTGGTAGTGTCTCACAGATGGACACACAGCCTGAAATGTATTCGAAGAAGGAATGACGATTCAGGCTGGATATTGAACCTTCATACCTCTCCTGCATTGACAGAAATGTGTCCATTGTACAGAATATCAAAAACTGTGAAGTGCAGAGAATCGGCTCTGAGTGTCAGGACAGATTTGGAGTCTTGTTTGATTATGTTCGGAGCAGTTAGTTCCTCATGTAATTCAAAAGTCTGCCAGTTTAATACCGTATTTTATTTAGGCAAAGTTCCTGTTTGGCAGCTGGTGTTTGTGGCTTCTTTTGTTAAACGAAAATAGGTTTTGAAAACCATGTTTCTACTGTATTTCTCCAAAAATTATAATTTTGGAATAAAACTCGGACATAATAGTAACCCAAATTATTTCAAACAATTCACAGGCCCTTTAGTCACTGCAGTATATGATCATATCATGTTATTGTTTCACTCAGTTCTGCTGTCTATATAAATGCTTACAAACCAAATATGGAGAGTTTCGTCTAAGGGGATGAAGAACGGTTGAACATAGTTAACAGCACTGAACATCAGTTAGATTTTTTTTAAATATGTGGCTTTGCATTCCTTCGCCATATCTTGAGATATATTAGAAAAATATTCTCTTCTTTTGCCATTATTATTTTTATTAAATTCCATGCCTTCCACCATTTCCAATAAAGGAAACTATTTCATATTCCTTCCCATGTAGCATACAGTAGGTTCACATTGGCAAAACACAAGATTAACTCTCTAAGACATATAAGTAGGCCTGTTGATGCTGATTTGTTGGTTTTCTGTTGCTTCTTGTGTGGTTCACGCGGGCCTCAGTAGTCAGTGCATCTTTGTATATCCATATTTGTTGAATGATTGATCTTCACTGTGCAGAATGATGTCTGTGCAAAGTTTGACACTAGAAGGATGTTTCACATTCATCTGCTGAAAGTGGAAAGTTTCTATTTTTAAGGGGTGGGGCCTACGAGCATGATTTGTGACATCACAAATGGTTTGGAAGTCAGTTCTGGTCCAGTATGCAGTTTATATTTTATTTTATTATTATTATTATTATTATAGTGTGATGTAGAAACTTGAAGCCACCAGTGCACATACAATGAGAATATATTCTGGGATATTTAATGAGGTAGAAGGACTAGATTACTTTTTTAGAAATTTAATGTGGAAATTATACTTTTGTTGCACACATGTCTGGAGGGGATTATAAAAAAGTAGGCTACACTCACATACTAAGAAGAAAGAAATATCCTCTCACTACCCCACCCACATACCATGCTAACCCCACCCACCTTCTACTTATACACGCACACACGCACACACACACACACACACACACACACACACTTAGTTCTTTGTGTCCGAGTCCCCGCTTTTCTAGCTCAGCCACAAATCCTCTCCATATTCTTCCATTTGTCAATGAATTGCTTCTTTTAGTATTTTTTCTTCAGACATTGTCCTTTCTGTGGATTAATTAGATTTCACTGAATCCTTCCCTGTCTGTGCTTGTGCAGCACAGTATTCCCACTAATAAAACCATACTGATGTCAGCTCTTCCAGGTGTGGGATACGCACCTCAAAAGTCACCTTTGGCTTCCAACCCATCTTCTGATACGCTTTGGTGCTGTCGCCTTGTAGGTAGTCCTGTTGAAAAGAAAGACAGGAGGAAAGAGAGAGAGGGAGAGAAAGGGAGGGGGGGAGAGAAAGGAGAAAGAAAAATAAATGATCTGTCATGTCTGATCAGATGTGTCGTCCTCATATAAAGACACACTGGATCTCTCTCTCTCTCTCTCTCTCACACACACACACACACACACACACACACACACACACACACACACACACACACACACACACACACAAAAAAAATCTCCTCTCTCGGGAAAAAAGGGAGGTCACAAAGTCTCGCCGGCCATCAATCCCCCCCCCTCGGCTCCCCACCACTGATCTGTCCAGACAGCCCCTGTCGGTGCCAGAGGATGATGAATTGTGGGACTCTGGTGGTGTAACCCCCCCCAACCCAGGACCCCCCACTCACCCCCCATATCCTCCTCCCCCTTACTCATTTTCCCCCCTGTTGTGTTTTGCACCGGGTTCAAGATCCAGCGAAACCCTGCTTGAGACCACCAAAGAGACAGAAGAAAAACTTCTCCCTGTATGTCCTCTCTGTAAAGCGTTCTTTTCTTCCTCTCTCTGTCCACATTTCTATTTCCATCTCAATTTTTGAGGGGATTTTTTTTTTTACTTAAGCATCATTCGTAGAAGTATGTAACAGAAACACACATGTTGGCCTCGAGAGGTCTAATAAAAACGCTGTGGTGAAACCTGATACTGAAGAATCTCCTTTTTTCAATTAACTGATACGGTATGTTTGTTAATCCTGCAGCTAATTCTAAAATTAATGACTAAAATCTTTTGTTGAAAGGAAAACAATGACTATATTTTTCTTTCTTAAAAAAAAAAAGACCAGAGTCATTAATTTTATGCTGGTCTTCCACTTTCTTTTTTCTTTGTTTTCTCTGTGCATGGAGGTTAAAACTATATACACTATATAGCCAAAAGTATGTGGACACCGAAACGTTTCACTCAGTGACTGCTGAGCGTCTCATTCAAAAACCATGGGAAGGTTTTCCACATGATTTTTGAACTTGGATGCTTCAATTCAGCTGCAAGAACATTAAAGTTGATTTATAGGTTTATAGTGGTGCATTAAGGGGTTACATTGTAGCTACGGAGACTATGTATATAGCCACTGTAGCTGTAGGTATGTACTGTAGCTGGTGTGCCACTTCTAAAAAAATGTACTACTTAATTATACTACTTGTTGGGGCAACGGTGGCTACGGAGATAGCACGTAAAGACTGGAAGAACTGTGAATGTTCAGTTTGGGCTGCTTGTGCTTTCTCCTCTGAGTTTCTGATGCTGGTAGAGATTGTTAAGAGCGAAGACAACATGAAACAAATTGAAAAAAAAAAGCGCTGTTATTTTCTCCTTTTCAGTAACACACATCTAGCAAAGCCATCTCCACTGCAAATGTTCTCGTCACTCTCCATCACAGTAAATCTAAGAACGTAAACACGGCCACTCCACCGAACAGTCTCATATTAGCTTGTTTCGCTAAGTGAATGACAGAATGTAAGCACAGTTACTGTGGGGAATACAATTTAAACTTGATACGGCCTGGTCACGTCCAGTACATCTCCCTGGTGTTTTAGTGATTCTATCAACAGGTGAAATCCGATGCTAAATCAAAATCCTGTTCACCCCAAAGGTGTTGGACAGGCTTGAAGTTAGGACCAGTCAAGTTTTTCCACATTAAACTGGGAAAATAATTTCTTTATGGACCTGACTTTGTGCACAAGGGGGAACAGTCAAGTTGAAACAGGAAACTGGAAGCACATTATTGTCTAAAGTATTGGACGCTGTGGTGTTAAATTTCCATTAATTGGATCTAAGACGTTTAGTTCAAACCATGAAAAACAGCCCGAGACCAGAACTACACAGGCGGCCATACAGTGTAAAAAGAGAGCAGTGTTTTTTGTCTGCCGTTAAACCTCTTGAAAATGTCTCTTCTGGGTGATCTTATTACAGAGGAACGTTCACAGCAGCACTGGCATAGTTCAGCCTTTTAGAGAGCAGGGACCCACATCTCAGAGAGGCTCCACAGCGCTTAATCACACTCTCCTGATTACACACAAAGGCAGGGACACTGAACACACACATAGTGAACAAGTACAGGCTGATTCGGTCTGTGACACTGCTCAAGTTTGAAAATGTGGTTCAATTGCAGGTGAGCGGCCTTTTTTATTTTTAACCTCACATGGTGTATATGCAGCCCAGCAGATGAAAGCTACAGCCCATTTTCTCCTCCGTCTGTAACAGCAGGACAAACAGCTCTTTCTCATGTGAGCAGCTCTGTACATTACTCACATCCATTTTTGGCTCTGAAGCCATAACTGGAAACATTTTCAGACTAATTACCTACAGCAATGAGACATAATTTATCATGGGGCTGAATGTAATTATTATAGGGTGACTTACTCCACAATTATATTAAATAATCCACTTGCTTCATAATTATATTGATTGAGGTTTGTAATGAAGATCATTTTGTAGCTGGCATAAAAGAAACATCAACTGGTCTCCTCACGAACACTGAAGTTGGTCTGAAGTGTTACAGATAATACATTTTCGGTAGAATCTCGACCTGGTGTTAAGAGTATAGAGACCCACGGTTTCAATGTCCCTTCCTGATTGGTTGCTAAATGCCAAGTGGGTGGGTCTTATCTGATATGAGTGAGTTAGAAGCCGATGCCAAAAAGAGGGAAGGAAAACAAATGCAAAAAAGTTGGCGTAATGCAGAATAGTGGGGAAAAAAGTGAAGTAGCCTTTTGTTTAAAAGTCAAATGAACTGAAATAAACTCCAAGCTGTAACGTGGCGCCCTGTTGCCAAAAGACGAGAAGACATGTGAAACGGAGGCTCAGGTAAGACCTTAACCTGACCCCTCTTGCTTTGGCAACGGCAACCGAATGCACTAACTATATACTATGACCTGCTGTGAGTAGTCTCAGTCAAGCTGCCATCCATCTTTCATTCACTTCAACTGAAGCCAGGGACACTGACAAATTGAAGAATGCGTTTCCTGTTTCTCGTTGAGTTCTAGTTGGCTCCCGCTGAGTCCTCTGCCAAACTATAACCAGCAAATTTGCACAAGCGACCAATATAAACAGTATTGTTGTCTACAAACTAAAGAGTTGTTGTCATATATTCTCAACAGTGCATAATTGCTGTGCTCAGTATTTATTTATTTCCCACAAAACGGTACCTTAATGGGGCAGATACGATTCAAAATAGACCCAAATCGGTTCATACTACATTGCGTGTTTACATGTTTGGCTCTGATTATCACTGATTATTAATGTAGCACCACAGAAACCATAGTTTCACCACATTAAAGATGATCATCGCTTCTAAAACAGCAGACCATTATATGTTTTTGTGAATCCACCTCTGTTAAAAATCCATAATAGAGAGTCGGGCTTAGCACTGAACCTAAATACTTTCTGTCCATCAAAATGTCAAAAGCTGGCACTAGAGTTGACACCAATTCAATTCAATTAAATTTTATTTGTATAGCGCCAACTCATAACAGAAGTCATCTCAGGACACACTCACACCAGATGCCTTGTCAGATTGTTATGGCACAGACAAACTGACAAATTCGGCAAGGATGTAAAACTGTGAGCTTGGTTTTGGAAAATGAAGATCTGTCGTCTTGATTAGTCAGCGGATTCAGTGTGTCTGCACCACCAGTCTTGTTGTAGTTGTTCTGGATCAGATATTATTTTAGATTACATTTTTTTTATGCATTTCTCATAATGCAACTTGTGTTAACCACATTAAACACCAAGGCACTGAGAAGTCTGACATACTTTGTTAAATGAAAAAGGGATTTTGATAAATATTTCCTAAAATAAGTTACATCTGTATTGGCACCAATAATGAAAAAAAATCAAATGATACCCAGAAGAGGAGGTAAGAAGACTTGTGCCTCGTATTATCATCATCTTCTTCGTCATCGTCATGCCTGGTCTCTATAATCTCCATCTGAGCTTGGCAGGAGAACATCTGTTGAAATCAGACTCTTGTCTGCTAAGTCTGTCGTCTTAGTAGACAACCACACAGTTCAGCATCCAGGAAGTTGATCCAGTGCCTGGTCTTTCTCAACCAGGATTTCGGCAGGTGACAGACGATCTCACCCTCGTAGATCCGTCTGCAGAGCGCGGCTCAGTGGAATAACGGCTGCTTCCAAACTGCTAACAAGAGCGTTCTGCGGCCAAGTGAACTCACCCCAAACAGAGCATGTAGCAAATAATTCAACATGAACTACTAACAGATGGGGGCACAATATAATCTTCATATGGATCCGATTTGGAACCAAACCCAACGTTTTGGTACATCCTGTTTAAAGCAGCGCTCTGCCCAGGTCTGAAAATATGCGGCAGTGATAATAACAAAAACTGGTTGAAGAAAGCTGAAAATTAGCCATGACAAAATATGTCCCTCACCCTCGGAGCATTAGACACATTTTAGAGATTAAAGGACAATATGAACAACGCCCACTCACCATCTGAGACCAGGTTACAGGCCTGTGAGTGGGCATTACAGTCTCTGAGGACTGCTGTGTATCAGGACTAGGAATAAAGATGGGGAAAACGCAGACGCAAATGGTTTTCATACGTAAAGCAAAGATGGAAAAACACTAGAGCCCTGAAATTGGTGCTCTACTATATGCACAATGCTTTGTCAGAACAACAAATTACACTATATTCAATCCAAAAATGAATTCAATGATAAAAGTTCACCTCATCATGAGCTGCATGGCAAAATAATGTTCTGACTGCATGTTCTCATAGTAATGCTCTCAGTTAATTGGATTCTGTTCAACTATTATCAAGTGCACAACTGTGTTGCTTTGACTTTTTTCCAATAAACACAAACTTGTTAAATCAGTTGCTAATTGGTTGGACTGATAAATCATCCAGGAATCTTTTATGGCTATTCAAGTGGAGGTGATGCCCCAGTGGCTCATCGTCCAGCTGGGACAAGTGAGAACTGTAGTTGTGTTTCCTCTCTTGGCCTCTGTTCCACTAACATCCGCAAGTCTTCCTGGGAAGTTGTAACATGTTCTTGGCATTTTACAGTAAGTCCATATTTTAAGATAAACAAATTTGTTCAAGTGCTGAAAATTACCTGTTTATAATAACCAGAAATAGACCTTGCAAAATACGACTTTACAGGCAGAAGTAAACCTTGTTATATTACTGCAGAATGTATTAGAGAGGAGGACCACTACTCACATCCCACTTACTACTTAAAAGCAGACAGTCTTGGTATCTCTTAACCATGACAACAATCTTTCCTTTAAAGAGCAGTGTGTTGGATTCAGTGGCATCTAGTAGTGTTTCAACATGGCAGCCTATATGGAAGAGGACCCTCTCCCTCTGTGGATAAAAACGGCTCATGAAAACATACCTATGAATATTATTTTCCATTTCTGCCAATAGATCGTCCTAAATGTTACAAAGTGGACTTTTAAATGTATCCAAGTAGTCTGTCTTTCATTACCCTAACCTTAAAATATTTCCCTGATTCTAACAAACCATTTTCGTGCCTAAACATAACCAAATAATTTAATAATGTAAATCACCTCTGTAATGGCTAGTTGTACTGGTTTTGCACTACCAAACATTGTCAGTGCTAACATGAGTAACTTTTGTATGCCTGACTTACTTATGTTTTCATTTGGTTTGGATTATTCTGTTTGGTCAGAAGCTAGCGAAGAGAAGGGTGTGGCCTTGGCTCTCTATAGGACTGTTATTGATCAGTTATTGCCATAACATTGATGATACAATCTCACTTTCAGGTGTGGAGAGTGCCAATTCTCTTCAGCTCCAGTAAAACGTCTTAACTTTAATATCTGCTCGTCAACTACATGACCTGCCATTCCCCATCTCTCCCTTCATGCCTTTTTCCTGACACTCTCCACTCTAATAAAGACGAGAAGCCATAAAAAATAATCCTTAGAAATGTAAAAGTGAGAGACAAATTGAGTGTGATCATGGTCCATAAAGCACACAGGCAGTAAAAGGCACTCAGAGCAGGCATTTAACGCAAAGGAATTCTGGTATCAGTGCAAGGCCTTTCAATAAATCACACAGCACACCGGGGCTGACCTCCAAACACATAAGGGCACACACACAAACATGTAGAGGTGCGCACACACACACACACAAACACACACACACACCCCTACCACACTTGTACATAAGGATAGATAGAATGCTAAATGTCCCTAAAATTTATAAATTTTTCTTCCTACAGAAAAACCACCCACTCACGGGAGACGGATCAAACGTTCTCAAAAAAACAACAACTCTCTTCTCTCTCTTCTCCCTCTCTTTCTCTCTGAGGGTTGCATGCTGGGAGACTATGATGTGGTTTTGGAAGTCCAGTAGCGTCTCTGGTATTTGTACAGTAGTGGACATGAGGCTGCGAATACAGAGACATCAAAGTAAAATCAGATAAAGCGGTCGAGAATGTTGAGAGAGTCTGAAGCTCACGGCCTCGATGTCCCCAGCAGACCCAGATGTTCCGACCAGACCCAGATGTTCTGACCTTTGAACTTTCTGGGGTTTTGATGGAAGAACTCAACCCTGATCCTGGGCTTTTTATACCCAGGATGAACTGCTATTACGACAGCGATGGGGACATGAAGAAAGGGACGAAGAGGGAAAATCTCTTCTCCCTCCGGAGCCCTAAACGTGCTGCCCGTCTGTAGGAACATGGCGTTCACCGTGCAACCAGGTGTGTGAGCTGGTATAAGTGTGTGCAGGTGGGTACACACTCCCAGTAAAAAAAGAGAGAGCTTCATCATTCCTGGTTGTTCAGACCCAGAGTCACAAATCTGTCACTGGTCAATTTCTAACGCACCTCCGCCAGCATTGCCTCGACTTATCACTTCCTTTAAAGCACAAAAGGCCCCCAGTTTTAGCTGGAGGAAGGGAGGGATAGACGAAACAAGAGACGCATGTGGTAATGTGCATACCACTGACCAACCTTGTAGAATATGCTTTGCCAATAGTTTGCTTAATGCTCATGCCAATAAAGCTAATTTGAATGTATTTGTACAATAATAGTGGATTTACATTTCAAAAACACAACATTAAACCAGCGTTTCAAAACCTGGTGGACAGGACCCACCAAAGGGTCAAACAATCTGGACAGTTTGACCTCTTCAGGTCTTTAAAATTAAATGAAACAATCTGAAACGTGACATACAACTTAGGGATGTCTACAGCTACACACAGACATACATGAAAAAATAGATGAGGGGTCACAAGCAGATATTTCTTGGCTTTAGGGGAACCAGTACACTAGAAGATAACATAAAGCTGGGCTTACACTGCATGCTTTTAGAAATGTTGTTTAATTCCAACCCCTACTGTATAGGTAAATTATCTATGGACCATTGTGGCTATAGACAAAAAAAAGTTTGGTTTGAAAGCACCAAGGCAGGTAGAAGTTTCTTTGCTAGCAATTGCTAACAAGGCAGAAACTTGCTGCCTTGATCATCTGTGCCACGCTGTGTGCCGATTGTCGAAAGGAGGAGGAGGAGGAAACAAACAAAAGAGACATGCATGCAGTTGCCACAGCTCCACCGGCCTCCATACTTTCCATCCACATAGCGCTTCGTGTTGGCATAGAACTTTCAGACACTGTGAGATGCAGCGAGAAAAAAGGCACAGATTTGGGGGAATCAACTCGTGGCTCAGCTTCAAATGGGCAAGAGTCTGACAGTGGCAGACCGAGATGTCCAACGGCCGTTCGGGAGCAGTCGCCCAACAAAGCACTCACTCTAAAATGAGTCGCGTGGCTCATAAATTGTGTCAGCAACAATCTGAAATCATACACTGTATTCCCAGTTCACAATAGTTATACTTAATATTTATTTAATTTGGTCTAATTTTTACTTCATTTTCTGACATTATAATCGCTGTTTTGTCTCTTTATGTTTTGGCAGCACAAATGTATTTTACATTTCTTACCAATAAACCAAAATTCAAAAATGAAATGAAAAAGAAAAAAAGAAAGAAAGAGAAAAACATACAAAGAAAAAGTGATTTATTTTATGAATGCATCCTATTGCATTTGTATTGATATTTTTGGACTGCTTTGGCAATATATGTATATGTACATCACGGTAATAAAGCTCATTGAAATTTGCATTTTTTATACAATATGCAGGATGTTACAATGTACGTTTTTCCCTTCAGTTGCTTTAAGGTAAGAAAAATAAATGTATTGTCTGCGTGACAGTATCTTATTTATTCTGTCTCAACTTGTTCCAGCTGTTCATTGACTGTATGATGTTTACACCATGTGAAACACAGAAACCTAAAACTTCATGTTTTCTGTGGCTGCACTGAGCCATCAAATGGAAACATTATAGATTTAGCCTGATATATTTGGCATCTTAAGAAATCCTAGGCTCTCACTGGAACTTTTAATTAAAGCTGTGTGGGTTTGATTTTGATTTTAGGTGATTAGGGTTGAAAAAGGTTAACCGTGTGTTTCTCTGTGAAACACAAATTAGTGATTTTATGTTTATTTTTTAAATCAAACTAATAAAGCATCGCCAAAATACATTTAAATGAACTGCGAGAGATTAGCCACTCCCAAACTGAGGTCAAAGGTCAGGTCCAGCATGTGTGTGTGTGTGTGTGTGTGTGTGTCTCTCTCTCTCTGTATCTTTCTTTCTGTGTGTGTGTGTCTGAGAGAGAGAGAGAGAGAGCGAGCTGTGTGAGTTATAGCTCAGGTTTCCTTCCCCGACTCCCCATGCAGCTTGGCCTGCACACAATGTGTTAAGTGACCTCTAAAGGGTGGCCCTGTCACCCTGATGAGTATGTACACTACACTACACTCACACTGACATGTATGGCAGCCTCAAATCTTAAAAGAGTAAGTATCTCGATTTACAGACACAACGCTGCAGGAAACCACCACACACACACACACACACACACACACACACACACCCACCCCCCACACACACACACACAAAACAGGAAACAATTACAGAAAAGCAGGAAAGTGTGAATCTCTACAGGAAAATGGTAAAAGCTACTTGTGATATTTAAAAGTCAAAACATCACACCACAAGCTGTAACTTCACTTCATCTCCTGGCCTCTCCTGCCATCCCTCTCTCCTCTGGGCTCCGCTGTGTTGATTGCTCTCCATCAGTGCTCATTAAAATTCCTGGGGGAGCCGTGTGATAAATATTTACGCGGCTGAGGACACACTCCACACACACTCCAAACACACTCGAGCGGCTGGATCTAACTGCCGATAGTGTTAAGTGCCCAAAGGCCCTGGCAGCGCTCTGGAGGGAGATCCGCAGCCCGCCGCCTGCTTGTATACGTGAGGCGTTTAGTGTCAAGATAACGGGAGGAGGGCGTCGATTTATGGCTGTTAATCATAGTTAAATATTTGTGTGTGTGTGTGTGTGTGTGTGTGTCCATGTCCAAGGATAATCTTTTAATGTGTGAAGTTTATGGAAATGAAGAGGAAAATATCGCACATCTGGATATAAACGCATTTGCAGACACACACACACACACACACACACACACACACACACACACACACACACACACACACACACACACACACACACACACACACACACACACACACACACACACACACACACACACACACACTCTGTTACCACAGTGGAGCTGGACTCCTCACTACTGTTCCACTAAGCTGTTGCCGACCCCCCCTCCTCCTGTATTCTATTATTCCTGCGGACGGGAAACAGATCATAATTCCTGGAGTCAGCAGAAAGCTGCAGACTGAGAGATGGAGGGTGGGAGGGAGGGAGGGAGATAGAGAGAGAGGAGGGGAGGGAAAAAGAGAGTAGTGGGGTGGGAGGGGGGGCTCAGGTGACTATTCACTTCCACTGAGGTCAAACTGAAACTGTGCAGTTAAGTCATTTCCAGTGAAAAGTGAAATGTGTGTTTAGTCTGTTTGCACATTTGTATAATGTAGTTTGGGTGAAGTAGCGCTTTGTGCAATACAGCCAATGTGTGTGTGTGTGTGTGTGTGTGTGTGTGTGTGAGTGAGAGAGAGAGAGAGAGTGTGTGTGTGAAGAGTGTTTTGCATTTCTATCAGCCTCTGGGTGTTTCATATTTCAGGAGACATCAAAGGCAAACATAATTTCCCTTCTTTAAACAACATTCTTTACAATCATACTACAAAGAGAGAGAGAGAGAGAGAGAGAGAGAGAGAGAGAGAGAGAGAGAGAGAGAGAGAGAGAGAGAGAGAGAAAGGGAGGGAGCGACAGAGAGGGAGAGGAAAATGTCATCCAGTCTTATCTTAATTGTTGTGTAATCTCTGTAAAGCAGGGTCTGAGGGTCTGTCTGGGCTTTGACACCCAGCCTCGGTGTTTAGGTAGATGATGATTGTTGAACAGCTACTTGTACTTTTTTTTTTTGGAGAAAAAATCTGGGTCCAATTTTTGTAGTTTTGGCCATCACTCCAGTGAAGTAAAGTAACATGTTTCTCACCATAAAGAATGCTGCTAGACACAGCTTTAGAACAGGGTGCATAGGGCGTTGAAAAACTGGCAAACCACTCATTTGGAAATGAAAAGGTTTAATGTCCCTTATTTTTTGTTTTGACTTTTTTATTGATTTGCAGACAAACATCAAAATGCCCATTATTGCTCAATGTATTGCTTTACTGTGTGCATGTTCATTCTCATCTATGATAAAATGAGCCTGTTGTGGGAGTAATGCACATAATGGTACATTGTGCATGTGTTCTTGCATAATATATTTATGAGGAGACATAATTTTGCGAACCTCGTGTCTTGTAAGACGGAGGGTCCCTGGGCCTTTACATCGCTGGAATAAACTGGACTTGCTTGAAATATAGTTTGATTGCTCAGGTTGCAGTGCGCCCTTGTAAAGCTGTGGCTGATGGGTAAAATCCACAGGATTGCTGAGCTACACAAACTACAATAAACTGAGAAAAAATATGTTTTTCTCTAAGATGCAGTAAGTGTGGATCTGCATATTTCAACTTGATATACAGTCCACAAACTTCACTCTGCATTAATTAGAAGGAATGCAGGAGGTGTCCAACCAGGGTTTAGGGACGCCCCAAGGGGATAGCAAAATCACAGAGGCTGGCGTTAAAGGACCAGTGTGTAGGATTTAATGGCATCTAGCGGTGCAGTTGGAGATTGCAACACTTTTGCTTCATTCTTTGCTTCCAAGCACGAGGGAGAAACTAGGGAGCAGGGAGATGTGCAAAAAACGTTGACACCTCTATCTAGAGCTAGTGTTTCGTTTGTCCCTTCTGGACTACTGTAAAACCATGAAGGTTCAACATGGCGGACTCCATGGAAGGCGACCCTCAGGGACGGTAGATATAAAAGGCTCATTTTAAGGTTACAAGAACACACTAATGAAAACATAGTAATGAATATTATTTTCAATTTCTGCCAATAGATACACACTAAAGCTTTAAATCCTGGGCCGCTGTGATAAGGACTTAGCCTTGGTACGCTCTATAGGTGAGCTACTGAGGCACCCCAATAAGGAAAAGAGAAAAACATAATTTTAAAATGTGCTAAATATTATCTTTTTTTTAATATATATATATATTTTCTCTAAACTCTTGATTTTCAGGCACAATCTACAGACTGTTAATGTATGGAATCATGACTTTGGTCATCATTTCTGTCAGTTATGATCACATTGTAGTGATCATGTTAACTTCTGAGATCTGGGAACATGGAAAAGTCACTGCAACAACAACGTCAGACGGGGCACGAAACACAACCAGTCCGGCTGCCAGATTTAAAGCAAGACAACAGTGTAGCCAGATTATTTAAACCACTGCTGGTAAGCAGCCACAACCAAAAAGCATCTATAATACCTCCTGCCATAGAGCCTGGACCTTTATCACACGAACCATCCATATTCAGTCACCCATCAGCCCTCACAATACCCAAACACACATACCAAAATACATACAAACCACATAGATTACATACCAACTCCCTTTTTAGGAGCTGTTTGGGTAGAGGTGACATAGATGCTAGATGTGAGGGAGAGTTAGAGGGGAGTTATGGCTGAGGGACACACAGGGTAGAGCATACACACATACACAGTGGATGTGATATATGTAATCTAATTCAGGCCTTGGCTGAGCTCTTGGTGGTGTCAAGGTTAGGCGAGGCGGGTGCACACAAAATCTGCCGTCTGCAACTCTTAGCTCCCCACACACTATTTATTAGTCGATTGCTCTTTGTTTCTCTCTCTCTTTCTCACCTCAGCTGCTCCTCGAACATGTCAATGTACAGCCTCCTCCCTGCTCTCTGACTCTCACCAACCATCAGTCATTCTCTGCATCAGGTCGAGTTTGCTCAGGGATAAGAGACATTCTTTGTTTTATACGTGTGTGCAAAAAAATCTAACAAATCTCTTAGCAAATCTTTTATATTGACTATTTTTGATGAGGATATTAATACCTTTAAGGTATTAATGTAGGCCAATGGTTTGTTGGTAGCAAATCTAAGGGCCTAAAGGGGTAGTTTAATTTACACAATTAAAACAAATAGGTTATTACCTCAAAATGACTATAATAGTTACTCCAAAAACACCCTTCATAAAAAACCATTTAGCATCAAATTTAACCTTTAAGAATCTGAGAAAAACAAGCTGATTTATATAGAAATGACCTCACCACAGAAGATGCTTTAAGACTCAGTAATGGATAAAATGTCGTAAAAAGTTCAACCAAATTAAGATAAAGCATATTTACAAATTTTCCTCTAGCAGTATGAGAAAGTTGGAGATTTCTCTTTTGAAGTTTTGAGATATCTGACTCTAGGATTTTTTTCTCCACTCCAACAAACATCTTTTTCCAGATACCAGGAATTTTTCTGGCTCTACACCCATCTCTCTGAACAATTTTCCATGGAATATTTCTTTGGTAGACAGAAGTTCCAGTGAAAACGGATTTCTTTTGCAGTTACATTGCAAAACTAATGTGAATATAGCATCTCTTTATTGAACATAAATCAAGTAAAAACCGCAGGAATAGACAGAGAGGTTGAGGCTTGAATGGGCATGCCCATCGGTCCTGGGTCAACAAATTTCAATCCCTGCTCCCTTAGCTTCTTTGCCCTGTCATCTCTATCCTGCCATACCGGCACGGAGGGAGCAGAAGACCAGAGTTGGTGTTGGTTTTTGGGGGGGATTGGATGACATATGGGGAGGAGGAGGGAACAGTCTTC